AAAAAAAAAAAAAAAGGCAGTACTTATATAGGATTCATCAAAGCAGTATTTAGACTTTGGAATTGTCCCAATGGACCAAGGACAACATTTCACTAACTCTCTTCATGATCAGAAAGTGCTCATGACAGGCCATGTGAGGCCTGACTGCACAGGGAGTGAGAAGCGACTTTCTTCCCAGCGGGGAGACTCTCATTCCGTACGCCTAGACGGGGTGCCACTGTTCCTGTCCCCACTCACCTCTCGGATTACCTCTTCCCCCCTCTGAACCACATGACTGTCTCCTACTATTGGATTTGGCAATTACTCGTTGCCTATGGGAGCATGGAAAAGGAAATGCTTTTGCCTTATATCTCCTTGTATATAAAACTTGAAAAGAATTATGCATCTGTTTTCATAAGCCATCTTTCCTACATTGTCTTCATGGTCTAAAATGTGCTTCTGTGGACAGGAGGGGGGAAACCTTGGCCCTTTTAAAGGCCGCAGATGTGATGTGTGACACTGCCAGTGCTCCCCCAACAGCTCCGTTGCAGTTGGGGCGCAGGGGCACCTGGGACACCTACACTGTTCAGGTAAGTCTAGCGCTGGCTTGTCGGTGGTGAAGAAAAGTGTGGGCTGTGCCTGCAGCGGTCATGGCTGGATCTGTAAATGTGCACAGGGGCAGCACCCTGGGAAGTGGGTGGTGTGCGGTGGGCCCCTGGAGGGAAAAGTCTGGCCCTAGACCTGCCCAGCATTAACCACTAGAGAAATTTCATGTTAATATCCTTTTGTAATGCCTGTGAATTTTAATAGAGCGAAGCATTAGACCAAAATACTCAGGGGATTTTTCTTTAAATATCCCTTCGCTATTTTAGTTATGTCAATAGAAGGGGAAAGCTAATCATTTTTGTTTGAAAACTGAACAAGCCATCTTGTAAACTGTCGCCAAAGTCTTCCCTTTTCACTGCACACACATCTTGAATTTCAGAAAACATTAATTCACAATGGGGGAGCAGAATGTGCTCTGTTGTTGAAACACTTCTTGTACCATTTTGTCATGTTTGTATCATTTTAAGATGTTTAAAAAGTTAAAATGTATGAGTAGCTTAACTAAAGTAGAACTGAAATATTCATGACACTTCATACACTGTGGCATAAGATGTAAAGTTTGTAATGTTTTGTGATTTCTGTGCATTTTAATATCCTTTTATAATTATGAGCATTGTAATAAAATCATTTTAAAAATAATACTGTTATCCTATTTAATTGTCTTAATGTTTTTAAGAAAGAGCAAAGATATATCTCCTATTTACCAATTATCACCCAGATAACAAATGTGCACTTTTATATAGATTGTATCTAAAATTACATTTTTTCACAGCCTACACTTACTTTGAAACATGGTGTTTCTGGGGCATGTTGGGGGGAGAGATTCAGCCAGGGCTGCTGCATAGTTGTTGGGGTTGAACCGGACACAGGCCACCAAGCCTGGGGACCAGGTGGGAGCTGAAAACCAGCCCACCTCTGCTCACATGCCGGGTGCACCGGCGTCCAGCCGCATCCGCCAGGAGGAAGAGGTGCTTTCTCTAACCTCGTAAAGGTGGCTTCCGATCGCCAAACCATGATCACGGGCAATGTCACCCAGAGAGGGCAAGTGTCCATAAGTCTCAGTTGGTTTGGATTTGCCAAGGCCCTGGGTACCAAAAGGGGGGATTATGGAGACTATGAAGGATAACCTCATTACAAAAATTAACTTGGAAAAATCCAGATTTGTAACTCATTTCATCCTTTGATTTTTTTTTTACCAGCTTAAATTTCGTTAGGCTTCCAATCAAACTATAAGTCAGATACAGTCCATAGCTGAACAAACAGGAAGAAGCCTTTTCTGATCGCTAAGTGACGCCTTTGGGAACAGTACTAATAATGTTACTCTTCCCTGCAAGCATTTATGTCCAACAGGGGGCAATGAGAAGTTCATTTCTTAAGCAGAGTACCCCCTTCTCATTTGGGGGAAACGATGAGATCTTAAATGCAGTAGTTCCTCCTTATCCATGGATTCACTCCATGGTTTCAGTTACCCACAGTCAACTGTAGTCCAAAAATATTAAATAAAAAATCCCAGAAATAAAGCATTTGTAAGATTTAAGCTGTGTGCCATTCTGTGTATCGTGACGAAATCTTATCCTCCCTGGGACATGATTCATTCCTTTGTCCAGAGTCTGCACACTGTATATGCCACCTGCCCGTTCATCACTAAGCAGCACCTTGGTTATCAGATCGACTGTCAAGGTGTCGCACTGCTTGTGTTTGAGTAACCCTTATTTTACTTAATAAGGGCCCCAAAACCCAAGACTAGTGATGCTGGCAATTCAGATATGCCAGAGAAACAAAGTGCTTCCTTTAAGTGAAAAGGTGAAAGTTCTCCATAAAAAAAATTGTATGCTGAGATTGCTAAGATCTATGATAAGAAGAAATCTTGGAAGGAAAAAAGTCCACGCTAGTTTGCTGAGAGACCATATTTACATAACTTCTATTACAGTATATTGTTAAAATTGTTCTATTTATTTTTTTTTTGTTAACCTCTTACTGTGTCTAATTCATAAATTAAGCTTTACCATAGATATGTATGTATAGGGAAAGCATGGTTTGGCACTAAAAAACGTAGTGTGTGTGTGTGTGTATATATATATATATATATATGGTTCAATACTATCCATGGTTTCAGGCATCCACTGGGGCGTCTTGGAACGTATCCCCTGAGGGTAAGGAGGGACGACTGTAATTGGTATTTATCTGCCCCTCACCCAGCACCATGTTAGATGTTTTCTTACACATTACCTCACTGTTAACATGGATGTTTTTGCAGAGAAATATTAAGTACCTTTTTAAAAATGGATTATAAAAGAAATGCAACATGTTAAAAAGTCCCAAGCTGTACTAAAAGGCTGTGCAGGAAACCTAAGTCCTACCCTCACCCCAGCCCAGCCCATTCCACTCTCAGAGGTCCCAGGAAGTGTGAGTTGGCATCAAAGGCAGCCTTTGCCCCAAGCAACTCCAGAGATTTGCTTTGGTTTGAAAAATTATAGTGTATTAAAGTTGCAGATCAGAAAAGCTAGTTCTGCCCGGCCAGCATGGCTTAGCGGTTGAGCATCGACCTAGGATCCAGGAGATGGCTGTTTGATTCCCGGTCAGGGCACAAGCCCGGGTTGTGGGCTCGATCCCCAGTAGGGGGCGTGCAGGAGGCAGCCAATCAGTGGTTCTCATCATTGATGTTTCTCTCTTTCTGAAATCAATAAAGACATCGTTTAAAAAAAAAAAGAAAAGTTAGTTCTTTCCTTCAGCTTTTCAATTCAGCCCAAATCCCATTCTTTTCATAAATTTAACAATTTTTTTCACTTTGTACTTGCAAACTTAAAGAAATGCTTTAAAATATCCGAAATGACAGTTGTAAACTTAGTCTATTCCATTTCCTTTCTAAGTACTCCAGTTTTCTGACCAACTGTGACCAAGAGACCATGCGTAAAGAGACTGCAAACTCTTTTCTCCTGCTCTTCTGTCTAGGGGACACCTTCCACAAAGCCATTGGGCCTTCGTTCTTCTTCATCACCCTTTGTGACTGGGAGACTGAATATACAAATGAGCAATGACCATGCCATATATAAAAATAACACTCCGGATCAGACTGACGAATCTCAGAGGGATTT